CTAGCTGAGAGTGCTCTCCATTTCAAGCACTGCAGCCGGGATAAGCTATACAAAAAGAATAAAAAGAGAAGTACCTATCCCAAGACAGCTAGGACTCTACAGATTAGGCTGCTTTGATTACAGTCATTAAATATACTATGGTTTTCATATGAAATACCAAAAGGAATCTGTTGGAGACTCCCGAGTCCCATGCATAAGTTCATGCTCCTCTTACTACCCAGAATACAAGCTCTAAAAGGCTGCCAGTGAAATCCAGGCCTTTGGAGCCTCTTGAGAATTTTTTTTCCTATAAAGCTGCAAAACCATGAGCAAATAGCCTTGTTATGATAACTCAGAGGTAGACGCGCAGGGGAGGTTGCTGAAAAAAGTCTTGGGTGGTTAGGAAGAATCAGTCCCGTGTTAGAAAGCTTGTTTCTAAGTCTGGTTTGCCTGGAAGCTGAAGCACCCGTGGTGTGTCCTTCCCGTCTCCTAGCACAGAAGCAGCTGTGTATGGACAGTCTCAGTCTGGAGCGCGACCAAGCCATGGGAGATTTATGTAGGCTTCTTAGGCGGTTCATTGGTTGGACTTGGTGGCTGCGGTCGATCGCTCTTGCTCTGACTTGGAGGAGGGGGCCATGTGGTTTTCTGATGAAGATGGCTGAAAATGAGAAATATATTTTACATAGTTTGGGAGAAGGATACAGAGGATAACATGAAGACAGCACTGGTTATTTAGGAAAGAAAAGAGGAGGCCATGGATCTTGCATGGCTAGTGGATTGTACTGGCCATCTGTTTTGTCTGAAAATGCTTTTCATAACCTTGAAATCATGGTTTGCAAACATCTACTTTGTACCTGACTAAAAAACTGTGGTGGCAGATCTTTAGGTTGAGTTAACATGATCAGTTAAGACAGTGGTAGTAGACATTTAGGTCTCAAAGTGCCCTTTCAGCAGGTATCTTCAGGACATGGCCCTGTTAAACATAAGCCATTTAAGAGGTTTTAGGGAAAATCTTAAGATACTGAAGGTCCAAACAAAGCCATGTTGTCCTGCTCTCCTTGGCTGGGACTTCACAGCATCTTGATACCACAACATAAAGAAATGAACACATTCAGTAAGGATTTTTCCCTTACTCAGAACTCACAGTGGTCTGTAAAAATGCCAGCTAGACAAGCCGTAGAGCCATAAATTCCTATCTGGCCTGAAGGAAAAAGAACATTTTAGAAAACAAAAGAGAGGTCCAGGAATTCACACCATGCTTCACTGTGCGGGGTGGCAAGTCTCTTGCTGTCTAGGAAGGGACAGGTATTTCTCTGACATGGCCATCTGGAGGCCTCTACTAGATTATCTGGTTAAAAGCTGCCAAACAAAAATTTTGGTCAAAAAAACCCACCAACAAAACAAACAGGATTTTTTAAATACATGTATTGTCAAAATTACAGACCATGGCAGTTTTGACACCTACTCCTTGTAATTTGGGATTCCTTCAGCAGGCAGGCACTGGTCCCTGTCACATGGCAAAGCTGCAAATGTAAGCACACAGCCAAGTATAAGTGAAGGGTTAGAAAACATGCCCAATGCAAGTAGCACTGTTAGGCTATGATAATACACATTTAAATGATGCAGAAACTCTGAAAATGCTGACACACTCATATATCAGAAGTGCTTCTTAAAGGCTACAATTATTTTCCTTGTGTCTTGTGCTTTGAGACAAAGACAATGCTGGACCATGGCCATGTTTAGTTGGTGAACAGCATCAAAGAGTAAAGACTGGGCACCTAGTTGGGGCTGTACACTCGCCTGATTGTGACACGGAGGAGATCAGAAACTCTGCTTTTGCATGGAAAGAGACAAGTGGGGTCAAATAACTGCTGCCAAGAAATGTTCATGACTCATGGACTAGGCTCAGAGTCCCAGACTGGGAACATTAATGCAGACTCCCATGGAGCTAGATGCCTTTGCTCTGATTTTCTCCCATCCACAGACATGCGATGGGAAGGGAGTCTAGGCTGATTTGTATGCCAAGGAAACGGGAATTACTGTTCCCCTCTGCTCAGCCTTGCGGTAGTCATACCCAGATGGTGTAACAAACGTTTGGATCCCTGATTCAAAGCTATTGAGAAACTGGACAGGGTCCAGAAAAGGCAGCCGTAGGGCTCATAACCTGCAAGGAGAGGCTGGGGAGGGCTGAGGAAGCTGGACTTGTTTAGCCTGGCAAAGAGGAGGCTGAGAGGCAATCTCACAGCACCCACTCCTACTTCAAGGGCAATTAAAAAGATGTCGGATCCAAACTCTTCTTGGCAGTGGCAGACAATATAACTGGGGGCAGTGGCCACAGATTGCTCCTGGAGTAGTTCAGACTAGATGCTAGGAAAATCTTTTTCACAGATCATCATGCAGCACAGGAACACATTATCCAGAGAGGCTGTGGACCTCCATCTTTGGAGGGTGAAACCACAGCTGGCTAAACCCACTGGAGAGCTCATCTAGTGTGATGATCCTACCTGGAGCAGAAGATTTGACTCCTGATCTCCACAGTCTCTTTCAACCAGCGTTTCCACGATTCTGTGAAACCATCCTCCTGCCTGTTAGGTTTTTTTCCTCTGGGCCTGGCTACAAGTCACACCCTTTGACTCCTTACACTGTGAGTCTGCATTTCAGGTTGAAAGATGAGTCACATGGATACAAGTAGGGCAATTACATCTCTGTGAGCATGAGGGAATCAGATACATGTATGGGAGGCTTAACTGGTATGGCAAAAAATACATAAGGTGGTGGAAACTCTAGATAACACCAACAGACATCCTTGAGACTTGTTTAGATTCAGATTTATCCAGTTAATTTAATGCTTACCATCCTTGTTGGAGAGGATTTGAGCTAACAGTTCTTTAGCTTCTGATAGCAAAAGGTCAATAAGATCTGAAGATGGAAGAGATGTATCTGAGACTGCGTCTGTTTTATCCTCTTCTGTTTCACTGTTGACTCTTACAAATATGGAAAGTGCCATCAATACTTCTATCATAGAATGGTCATTGAAAATCCTGACCAGCCGCTCATGAAGGATATTCTACGTGAATTCTGTATATTCAGGGAGGATTTAATCTCTGTTGCTTAGCAGTGCAGGAGATTTAGGCATACTTGCATCATTGTGTTACAGATATCAATGCATTTTTCAGAATTTCTCAAAAATATTTTTCCTTCCTTGTATTAGATGTAACCATCTTGGAAACTTAAAAATTGTTTTCAGTCATTCTTAAAAACTTTTTTAAAGGGGCTGGTCATTATCAATGGGACAGTGAGCTTTCAACAATTTAATAAATTAAAAACACACATAAAGTTGTGATACATTTTTTTCAAAGTGATAGGAGATAAGTTCAGGTTGAAGGAGAGTCCAGAAGCCTGAACTCTTTTTCTGCAACCAGTCATCTAGTTAAGAGTCACACTAGCTCTTTGCTTACACTCTATCAGTTTCTGTAACTGCTGATAAAAAAGGCCATGATCCTAAAAACAAAAACTGATGTATGTTTGGAAAAGCAGGCTGGTCAAAACTCTGCTTCTTTGAAACAACCTGCTTAGAGTTTCTGCTAACAAGATCGACTTAGCCAGAGTGTTTCACCTACTCACTCCCCAAAAAAGCCTGAATGGAGGCCAACCCCCCCCAAGCACCAATCCACCAGCAGCCTCCAGATTCCCTAGTGGTTTAATTTCCAAAGTGACAGTATGTTTAGAAACTCTGGGTAAGTTCCATGTGTATCACCTTCCCCTGAGAAAGGTCAGAAAAGGACATTTCATGTCCCTGTTCAAGATTCCCAGAAGTCACCTCCTACCTTTTCTCATCTGGTAAATGACTGGGTGTGCTCAGGACCTTGTGGACATTCTGCCATGCAAGAAAAGAAAAAAAAAAGGTTTCAAACTTGTAGGAATGAATAATTCCTGAGAAGCATATTCATTGCCCTTGAAGCGAATATCTCAAGGCCTTTTGCAACTCAAGCAAACATTCACAGCCTATGCAAATATACAGACACATTTAAATTATGCATTTTAATACCAACACTAAAATATATGAAATGCAACATAAAAATACTCTTCCAAAAACAATTTTGCAGGCTACGTTTCAGGGAGCCTTGATCATCGCTACTAGCAGTCCCTGGTTTCTGGACTGTACCTGCACGTGTAAGCTCTCATTACTGTGCATGGTTAGTGAATTCTCAAACACTGATGAGGGATGTATAAAAAAGGAAGAAATTTTACCCCAGTGGTCAAAATCCTGTGATGTTTGACCCTGAGGCCAAGTCAAACCCATTTCCAAAGTCCGGCCCCAAACCACACAGCATCAGCACGTAGTACTGCAGGTCTAGAGGCATTTTAGTTCTTCTTTCTCTGAAGCAGAGGACACAGCATCTATGCTTCCTTTCACTCTACTGTTTCCTATTGATTACAAGAGCTCTTGGGACAGGCTACTGATAGCTGTAGCAGATATACTGAATATAGTGATCCCATGCTGGCCAGTTTACTAATTAAACAAGCTTGCATTCCCAATACGGGTAGTGAAGTGGAAGAATAGTCTATTAAAAGACTAAAGCAATCACGTGTGCGATTTTGCAGGAAATCTGGGGGAAGAAAAGCACTGGAAGAGCAAAACCACTCTTCGAATTCACATTTGTTGTGTAGAGAACCAAGCATCCAGTGATACAAAGGGAAGGTTAAACGCATGATTTCGACCATCATGTTCAACAGAGTTCCTGGAGCAGCTTCAGCCGGAGCACTGTGGGGGAACCGGTGAGCCAGGGACAGGAGAGCCACCAGGCAAAACCTGCACCACAATGTTTACATAGCCCAAAGGTATATGAGTATATATGAATTCATTCCCTAGTTTCTCTTAACCAATAGACAGGGCCTTTTTAGGGTGAGAGAGAATTAAAAAAACCCCTCTCTTGCTTATGGAGCAGGAAGTTATTTGGACTTGCAAAATCACTCATAGGGTAAGAGGCCACAATGATGCCACCAGCACCGGGGGCAGTTCAGCACTTCACCTGCACAAACAGGAGCAGTTTCCTATTGCAGATCTCCAGGCGCTTCCGTGAGACTTCTGACTTTCGTAACTGGCCATCAGCCAGGGACAACTGTCTTCTCAGTTCCAGAATGTCCTCCTGAGACAGGGCCAGAGGAAAAAGAGAAAGATGATGATGACACTCCAGTCTTGGCTTTTGGAAACATCAACTTATGACATTTGCTACAAACAGAAAACTACAGTTCTTTTGGAACGGACAGCAGAAATTATACAGATTATAACATGGACCTAGAGACCATGCTGGCCTGTGCGCTTACACAACAAATGAAGTATGTGCTATGTTCATTTTCTCCTTTGTAAATAGAAGGGGGGGAACCCACAGAAGAAGGATCAGGAGGGTTGTGGGTTTTTTCCCAGGCTGCGGGGCTGCATTACCTCTATTTCAGAGACGTGTTTTGCTTTCTTCCCCACCAACTGCATCTTCAGTTCTGCAATTTCAGCTTCCAGTAAGTGGATCACTTCCTCGTAGTCCTGCTCTGCGCTGTGAGCCTGTCTCTGTACGACCTCTGCCATCTGCAGCTTGCTGTGCAGCGTCTGGTTCTCGGAGAGGAAGCCCAGGGCTTTCTGGAAGCAGTGAGAAGTTCTGGTGAATGCACCACATCCCCCTCAGCCGCCAAACACCAAAAGCACCCCAAGGCCCCCAGCAATCTCTTCACTAACCTGGTTCAGTCTCTGAAGCTCATCTTCCATTGACTTCTTGCTGATCTCCACCTCTTTCAGCAGAGACTAGGGAAAATATTTTCACCGGATTAGAAGGAAGAAGCAATAGACATTCTCTAGATACCCTGGTCTTGTAGTCCCTACCCACCAGAATAATATGTTACAGAAGCAGATGCAGACACTCTCCCCCACCACTGTGTTTTTTGGGCTGCGACCTGCATGCCTGCAGAAATCCACCTGGACACAGCCATGGTGCTAACAGCCGTGCTGGCAATCAGCAGCTAGGTCAGGATGGGAGGACAGGTGGTGCTTCTGTTATTCATGGACTTGAATTATTAGTGAGATACATTTTTGTACTTTTAAATATATGTACTCGCTGTTAAAAAGTGACTGCATGCTTTCAGTACAAAAAAGTTTTCATTTGAGGTTGAGAGCAAGAAAGAGGCAATTAAGTAGAGCCGAGGGTGAGAGTCTTCTTTGTAAGGAGGAATGCACAGAATGCAAACTGGTGACTTCTTAAAAGGGACAGGCTACACCATTACCCTCGCGTACGACTACAGCAAGCTACAGCAGAAGGCACCAGCCAAGAAATCTGCTCAGAGGGGAACCTCCACCTTTAGCCTTCGGACTTCTTGCCGCAGATCCACCATTTCCAGCTGCAGCTGCTCCAGCTCCTCATTGCCATTACAGCTGAGGGCGTCGAAGGTCTGCAAGGCAGAGGGACAGACAGCATCATGCACCACTCACGCTTTACCAAAAGCATGGGGCTATACGGCAGGCATATTTTTTTTCCATATCCAGAATAACAATGCATCAAAATCACTTTGAAAAGGAGTCAGCATTTTTATGCAACAGATCAAAAGGCATATTAAATAATTCAACTGCAGCTTTTCTTTCACCCCAAGGGATTTCACTCACTGATCCCTGACGTAGCTGGACTAGCTGTGCTACAGTGAATTTTCATTTTGTGAACAAGGTGAAATTAGTTGGAATTGATTAATTATGGGTATTTTTCCTCCTGCATTACTTCCTTCCCGTCACTTTCCTCCAGGCTACTTCCTTCATATCATCCCATAGGTATTGTTATTTCCTTATTAGTAATGAGAAGTTTGAGGTCTTTTATAGAATTTCCTATAATCAAAATGCTTAATGGATAGTTTTGCTTTCTCTTGATAACTCTAGAACAACCAGAAAATGGTAATTTAGCTTTTCCTGTCTCAGAATTTCATGGATTTTATGTAAAAGATTCATGGATTCAATGTAGAAGAGCATTGGATTGACTGACCGGAGAGTGAAAAGCCGATGTATCCAGCAAACTGGCCACTTCGTGCTGCGTGAAGAGCATGGAGCTGGAATCCAGACCTGCCTCGTCCAGCTCCTCCTGCATCAGATCCCTGAGTGCTTGGAGAAGATCTACGAGAAATAATTGATTTTTAACAGGCTAACAGAGGAAAGCGCTTTGTGTTAGCCGCTGATTTTGGGGACATCCACTGACTGCCAAGCAGGGCAGGCTTGGAGATGCCAGACAGTCTTCTCTAACATTCGTCTGTTCTATGGCAATCTCATCAAGCTTAAATAATTTATTGACAGTCTTTATCAGGCTCTTGTTTCTTACATAATGGAAAAAAATTAAACTTTTAAAAAACAAATAGGCCCAGATATTTTCACAGTGGAGTTTTCTCAGTTGTGGTTCTCAGAATTTTAAAATTTTAAGCCAAAACCACATTTCTCTGACAAAAGGCACCCACCTGCCTGCTGGCATTTCTCATGTTGCTGATTTAAACAAAAAGAACAACTCAGTGACTTCAGCACTTAGAAAAGGTGTTAAATTGACAAGTCAGAAAATCCAGATTAATTTTGCTTTCAGATGTGGAGGAAAGCACAGCGCAAGGGGCCGTGTGTGACAGATGGGAGCTGGTACAGCAGATGGGAGGCGACACCAGGTCCCAGACCCTCCAGTCCCCAGCCCGGGGCAGCAGCAGGAACCTGAGCCTATACTACAAGACCAGCATCTTCGTTGCCAGCACATTTGCCTAATCATCCTTATTTCATACCCCTAATCATCCTTATTTCTATTGCCGCAAACTACGAAGCTGGTCACTCTTAGGAGAGGCGCACGGTTCTGTATCCCATCACTCACTCTGCACAAAAACATCCGTACAAGAGACATTGTGCTTTGCAAGCCTATTCTGTCTGGTGGAGACATTGGTGACAGCTTTGAATTTAAGTAAAAAACTTCTGGGGAGCAGACCCTGTGAGTCAGATACGCTCTGGCAGGTCACAGAAAGCAGAGCAGACTTATTTCTGTGTTCTCTGGCCAGCTCTTGCTAGGTGAGCTGGGATTTAAGGATAGTGAGCCCTTGCACCAACTCTCTTCTATTCTCGTTTTACTTATGCCTCTACCAAACACGTTTTGTATTTGCGACTTTTCGTAACTGTTTTGAGGCTACATCAATATGCAGACAGGTGTCTTACCTGCCACCTTTCAGCAAATGCCTCTCCTTTCTCAGCCTCCAGCAAAACTACCCAAAATTAAAAGGCCCCTCACGCAGGGCTGCCAGCTCACCTCCGCAGGCCACTGTCCCCTGCGAGTCTGTGGTCAAGCTTTGCCGTAACTGCCTCTTCTTCTCCTCAGTCACATCCAGACCAAGATACTGCAGAACCTTGAGCAGAAACAATGAGCCTTTAAAAAGAAGAATACTGGAAAAGCAAGTCTTTGAAGTAATTGCTGGGTTTTCTCCCAGAAGCGACTCTCCAGGCAGCATCTCCCCAAAGGAGCAGGCTTGGGCTGGATTTCCAGTCTTTCCTTTCCTACACGTGTACAGAAATGTCTGTTCCTGAAGACAGGGACATGTTCACATCCCTCCAAGAACATTTTATACAGATTGCAAGCAGATTTGCGGCTATGACAAACTGTCAGGAGCTTCATAAAAAGCCAGTGGAGCTGTAGCAAGGCCCAGCTGCCAAGAGCTCAGCCTCCCCCCTTTCTCTTACTGCTCGGGAATTGTGTTTGGAACAGAGAAGATAAAAGCTATTCACAGAGTATTTCCCATGGCAACAGAAGACATTCAAACATTTTACTTCTTCGTTGCATCTTTTGCTCTCTTATTACGCCTGATGCCTTGTCTTCTATTGACATTTCTGAATTCAACACCAGGGCACCGCACAGAAGCAGATAAACATGTGCAAACCCCACTTTGCTGCTGGTGGCAGCACGTAAAAACTTTTAAAAGACAAAGTCAAGCTCAGCAGACTCTGGGAAAGAGCCTGAGTTAAACACTCCCCTGTCCCAGGCTATACCCGCAGCTCCTGCTCATGCATGTACAACACCTCCCGTATGGTGCCCTGGAAGGTGGCTGAAGACAAGTCCTTGCTCGCGTTTCTGTCACCAACAAGTCCATGGGACCTGTCTGCTCTCATGTGCTGCTTGCGAGACCCATTTGAGTCCCACCTTTCGCTTCTCTGCCCACCAACCCTGCACAAGGCTGTGTTGCTGGCTCCTGGGCTTCAGGATGCCCTGGTCCTCAGTGTGCTGATGTTGGCATCTGGCTTGGGCCACCCCAAAACCATCTCAGATTTGTGCCAGTTGGTGTGCATCTCCTGACCCCGGCACTGCTGCAGCTGCCTGCTCGTAACACTGGCTGTTAAAAAGGAAAGCCAAGAGTCCCCACTCTTCCCACCAAAGAGGAGCCGCTGTTAAATCTATGACGAGCAGAGGTCGCTGCGAAAATGCAATCCCAAATCCTGCTTTAGGAGAATTATGTAGGCTTAGAAGAAAAGTTCCTGCTTGCGTGGCGAGAGCAGCAGAAGGGCGAGGCTGGCTCTGCCGTCGGGTGGCAGCAGATGCTCGTCACATCGGGTCCTCCTTGGCCTTCTGGGCCCTGCAGAAGGGGCTGCCTTCCCACGCCCCCTCAAATGCCAGCAGTACCCGGGAGGCGGGGGACGGACAGGCACCCCAAAACCAGACTGGGGGTACGGCCCCCTAGCGGCATTCTGCCTCTCACCAGGGTCTCGGTGAGCAAACGGGCAGCTCCGCTCCCTGCCCTTTGATGGTGCCCTTGGAATATGTTTTCCATAAAATGCTGAAAGGAGCAGCGGTTGTGGCTGGATCCTCGGTGAGATTATCTCGTATTTCAGCCTTCTCTTGCCCACACCGGGTTGCCTGAGGTCACCCCAGCAGCGACAGCAGCACTGGAAAGTTTGGAGGGCAGCTGCCTGTGCCAATACCCCTGAGTCAAATGCATTATGTCCAAGGGAGGTGCAGCTGCCAGGAGGAGACTTCTGGAGCTCCTCAGAGCATTGAGAAATAGCCAAGATGAGCCAAGGTGTGTTTAAATGCCTCTTTGGACACAATCGGGATGTTTCACTATGCCCTCTTCTCCCTTGTCAGCTTTAGAGGCTGGACCCAGCCTCTAGCAAACTTGACTGAAGAGTTGAGGCCTTTTTGTTCCTTTTCCCCAGAGTCTTGGTAATAAATACTGGTAGCTGTCTTTTATGCCTCTGTCTCAAAAATCAGATTAATTAATTGTAGCACATGAACAGTGTGATGTTAATAAGGAAAGCGATGTTCTGAGCACCGCAACTGGGTCTGCAGTCCACATCACCTGGGCTACTGCTCTTCCCAAAGCAACCTGGTCAGCATCCTGGAGAGGTGAAGGGGATATGAGTTGGAGCAGGCTGTTTGGCAGAGGATGGTGTACGTGTAGATTAGAGCACTGATCAAGTGCTACAGCTTTATTCTGTGCAAACAGGTAGGCTGGTTCTCCTAGACTACTTCTATTCAGGCTTGCATTTTTTAATCCCTCAAAAAAAAGGAGTGACATAGTGACCCCCATGCTAGTGCCTGGCCCAGTCCTCATGTGCCTGGGGGCAACATTGGTGCAAAAATCAAAGCTGAAAGGTCTCGATCAGTTCTTTCACAGAAAAGCAATACAAGGAGAACAGTCACATAAGCTTATTTTGCTTGCCAGTAATGTGGCAGCTGGAAGCAAGAAGGTATCACGCTCGTGTACTATTTTCTGCATAGTGCACCTTGGGAGAGGATTGAGAGGAGACCTTGCTTTGGGGAGAGGGACCCGTTCCACGTACCAGGTCCAGTTTCCCATCCTTGAGCCGGATATGGGGATCCAGTGCTACTTTTGGTTTGGTGCCTGAAGCTGCTTTATGATTAGATGCTGAAATGGGTGCTGAAAAACAAACAAACAAAGAAAAGGTTAATGGAAGAGCACCTGGGTAGAGGAAAGAGGTGCCTGCAAAGCAAAATTCAGAACTCTTGTTGCATGAAATATAGTGTGTGTGCAGCAGACCAAAATCAAAGACCAGGATTTACCAAATCCGGTCCTGGAAGGCTGAACTAGGCCACTGTTGAAAAGCTTTGATACTGGGGCAAACGCTTACTGAAACTGGGTTTCTGCATGGTTTAAAATGGGATGTTTCACCCCAGGACTGCAAAAATAGCATTTTGGAAATTTCCAATCACAAATTTTTGTGGAGTCTTGGGGTCTGTAGTTATGGTGATCTGTGAAAAAAAAACCCCAACTAAAATCTGCCTGGCTCTTGTCTTCTGTAACTGACAAAGCAAAACTGAAACCCAACATTTTATAAAATGCAGCCTTGACTTTCAGAACATCCATAGAAAAGGGAATCAAGGGATAAAAAGGCGATGTGGAAAAACACCAGTGCAAGACTTTTTACCTCCCTAAGACTGCAAAAAGCCTTGAACCCTTTTCCCTCAGTTGGGCAGGCAGGGTTTTTTTGTGCAGAAGGAGCCACATGTATTGCAAGGCAGACACAGAGGGAGAAAGGCAGAAATGGCAGCTGCTTTTCTGGTGAAAAGCTGTCATGAGAACAGAAGAGCCAGCTGCTGAGAGCTGGCTCATCATTACTGGCACTGCCTTCACAGCTGAAACGATAGAGAGTGCAAACCCTGCTGCCATGCCCTGCCACTCGTGCTCCTCCATCCCTGGAGGGAACCCCGCCTTTTCCATTACGATTAACCCTCCTCCATAAGAAACGGTGACACTCCCTGGGAAAAGGGCTGCAGAAGGCGTTACCCAGTCAGAGGCTCCCCTGCCAGAGCCCAGAAAGGTGAAGGACTGCTGTGCCTGCAGCCCTGCTGCCTGCCTGCCCTTCTGCCTGCCCCTGCTCCCCCTCAAGCTGTCAGCCCAGGTCGGTGACAAAACTCCTTCTCGTGCCAGTAGCACAGGATTTTCCCAGGGAGTAATTTCTTTCATCTGCCTGGGATTTGCTTAACACCACGGGAAGCTCTGTCTTGCTGAGTAACCCCACTTCTCCTGAACCTCTCCAGCACTTCTCATCGCATCCTCCTTGACCGTCGGGGCAGAGACCAAGCTCAAGGAGAAAGCAGTGAGAAGTAGCAGAGGTGCTGCACAAGTGTAATCCTTCTAATCCGGGTATTCATCCGCTCTGCTAACGCCAGCAGCTGGGAAGCAGCAAGAGGTAATAAATGGTTTTGCTGGATCGTCCACCAACACTTTACTCTCCAGGTTCAAGGGCAGAGCTGTTACCCTTCGATGCATGGCTAATCAGGATTAGCTCCATGTGGCTTTGCTGTCAGCTCTGGGCACGGAGACATCCAGGGCATCCATCAGGCACCCCAAGAGAGGCAGTCACTGGCCCAGGCTCCAAGCCTGGCTGCTGCCCTTTCGAAGCCAGTTGTCCGTTTTCATGGATGACAACACTGACACAAAGCCTCCTCAGCATTTCACATTAAAAAAACTGTGTCATAAAATCCCCTAGCTAAGTCGGGAAGTGATTAGGTCATTGCTATTTGCTGGATTGTGTACATGACCCAGGGCTTTGCTCCTTGTCACCAGGAGCTCTGGCTGTCAGTGGTGGCCACCTAAAAGCCTACCTGAAATCAAGGCTGCAGGATGCTCAGGGCAGGGAGGACAGAGCCATGGGCAATCCCTGTCCCAGGGTCTCTGTGGTGCAAAGCATGGAAGACGAAGGCTGAAGCCTGCTGAGTTTGCCCAAGGTGAGACAGGCATCCCTGGGAGCAGAGCACTGACGCACACCCAGCCCTGCACCGTCTGCTCCCTGTCTCTCCCATTAATCCCAGGTATAGACTAAACACAGTTTACCTTGCAATGCTTGCTCTTAGCCTTCCAGATGGAAATTACAACATGCCACAGGAATTTGCAAGTGGGATCATTTTCTCGGCAGCACATGGGAAGGAAGGGCCTGCTGACTGGTGGCTGCAAGAATGATGGACTGTGCTTGCTAGGGACTCACCAGGGAAAACCCATTTTTCCTCTGGACAGAATTAACCTGCATATCACAGGGATACATGGTATTGTGCTGGAGGTCATCTCCCTAGACACTGGATCATGGGGGTTATTGAGGTTTCCTGGGATACTTAAGGGACCTGTGAAGCTGCAGGGTGATTTGACTTCACCCCCCATTGTTTCTGTCCTATCAGCTGAACAGGGTAGGTCTCTCCCACAGAAGTTAAGAGCTCGGTACGGGACTCATATCATGGAGAGAAAGCACAGCATGGAAAAACAAGCAAAAGATGAAGCTTGGCTGTAGAGAGAAATGTGACTTAATCACATCTATAAGCAATTTCCCAGTTTGACCAACTGAGGGCAACCTTAATGCCTGTATAATGCCGAAGGTTGCTGTGTACATTACAACTATCACTGACTTTTTTTTTTCATACTGTGACTCCGAGGACCACCCATTCCCATCAGAAGGGAACGTGGCCTGCAATGGGACCAGATGGATGCAAGTCTGGCTTGACCTTTGCACGTGGACAGGGACAGTGCTGCAAGGGAACCAGAGACTGAGAATGGAAGAAGTTGTCGTCTTCTATTTCCAGTTCTCTGCATGCCTTAGTAAAGAATTTTGCTACTATGGACAAACATGGACATAATTACTATCTGTTGAGTAGCTGCTACCTTCCTTCTCTCCTAGTGGGCTGAGTCTCATTATCACCCCAATAGATTCCAGTACAGCAGTATAAACACCGATCAAAATTAATGTCATCATCCTCGGCACCCAGAAGCCAAGGCTGTGCTTATCACCCACACAAAGAAAATGATTTAGCAGGACTCTTACCTGAAACAGTAAGCTCTGGTGGGCAAATGTCTGGTGACAAAGAAGGCACAGGAAAATGATTTTCACGTCTATTCTAAAAAAGGAGACAAAATGTCACAGAAAATTGCTAAGCAGAATCTGTTGGTGTAAAGAGCAGAAGACAGAGAAGTTAAAGAGAGAGCAACCTATCTGGCCCATAAAGAGCAAAGGTGCCATGTACACCTCTTGTGCAGATGGGCCAAAAGAGACTCCAGGGGTTCCTCTAGGTGCACTTGACACAGGCACGTTCCTGAGCCATCTCAAAATCTCTGGTCACACACAGAAAACCGAGTTTGTCATTACTGTAATTGAGAGCTGAGGATGAATTTGACCTTGCATGCCTTCTCCATAGAGGTTCTCCCTGAAGCTCTGCATCCAACACATCAGTGAGGTCCTGATTCTGACCACAGCCAGTTGTGTTATTTACCCAAAACACGTAATTATCACAGTGAGCGCAACAGGAAGCCAAGACCAGTGCCTTCTCTTAATTGCCTGGTCATGGCTGAAAGCACAAGAGGGAAAAATAGAATCACAGGGTGGATATGCTGAGCACCACTGAGATGGGAACTTAGATGCAGAGAGGGGCGCAGGACTGGTGCCGAGGACATACAGACAGGTAGCACAGGTGCCTGAGCACGCTTTTCCTAGCATGGAAGCCCAGACCTCATCAGAAGTTCTATCTTTTAGCAACAAAATGAGGAAAAGAGCAATGTAATTCCAGCCGGCAGTGTGATTTCATGTAGGTGCACAACATTACACAAGCACACCTTCTGCTGGATGGTGAAGGATCTAACTGTACTGCTCAGCTATATGTATATGGGCTAAGGCTGACTTTCATATGCGTGTCTCCAGCCTCGTACACCCAAATGCAACATGTATGTGGCATTCATGCAAGTCCATGTTTCCACAGGGTCTGGAAAGAAACATCTTTTGTGAATGATGCTTGTACAAAAGGAACCTCCAAGCCAGCCTTTTCTAGAGGAAGTTTATGTGGAAGAGGGCAGAAGATACACTCAGCATTGCACCAGTCCAGGAAAGGAGTGACAAATGCACATCCAGCCATGGGCCTAAATTATCGTGAGGTGGTGTGATTAAATCCTGTCTCACCACATACAGCTCCAAGCCCTTGTCTCTGTGAACACAACATTGAGCTAGGCTTCACAGGAAGAATGAGCCTGGCTTATCATTAGGCTAGTGAAGAACAGAAATGGGCTGCTTAGGAATGCTGTGGATTCATCCTCATGAGAGGTCTTTAAGAACAAAGAGTTGTTCTGCCTTTGGGTAGGAGACTAGATCAAACTGACTCCTGAGATCCCTTCCAGCCCTATGACTGGCACTGAATGAGGTGCAGGTTGCTATCCACAGAAGGGTTTTGGTTTTTTAAAACCTGAGACTTCTGAAACAGGTCTGAATGCAGGCCCTGGAGATGAAACTCCTCTCATTACCTCCCAGCTCCTTCGCCATCTCAAACCCAAGACAGAATAAACAATATTTCAGGTTTCAAATACCTGGCTGTAAAACCAAGATACATACATCATCATTGCAGACTTTCCACTGTCCAGAAAGACTATCATGGAGTCCCTGAAGAAGAGTTTTCTGATCAAAGAAAGATCATAGGATCAATGTCTGTGGTCTTAGATGTGAACTTCAACTTACCTCTGGGGACCTCACATGGACCTTCAGTCTGCAGGAACTCAGACCGTTTCCCACAGCCTTTGGAGGTGGTGACGAGACATTGTTATGAACCGATAGTCCAGGATGTAACCGTCCTCTTCCAGGAATGAAGGCCACTTCTGTGTTTCCCTCGTGTCTTAAACAACAAATACAGAACATTTTATTAACAAAAAAAGAGCACAACTTAAATTTGCAGAACTTCCACGCCCACAGTTTTCTCTGTGATAATCTCACTTAAGCCCATATAGCCTGCACCAGTGCAGCTGTATCTGCACCAGCTGGGTTGCTTGTTTGAACTTCAGTTCTCTTGCAGAACTCTGCTGGGCAGTGATACAGCATATTCATGAGGACCAGAAATTTGGGAAGGTCTGGATTACACTTCAGGATGATACATGCATTCAAGATTTCCTTATATGATCACCTATCAGGATCATCTTGAAGCATCATTTAAGACTAATAATCCTCATAATTCTTGAAGCCAAACATTGGTGTGACATGAAGTGTTTTTGCTGAAGGCTCAGCAGCATCTCGATGATGACAGGAAATATGTTACATGCCTACCTGAATTTGGCTTTTGCAATTATTTTTCTGGCCTCTTCATGTGTGCTGCCCACCAAAGAATCTTTATTGATAGCGATTAGTTGGTCACCAGGTCGGAGCCGACCATCCTAAACAAAGAAGGAGAAAGTCAGAGCATTGGGAAGGAATGTCCCTCTGCTCAAAGCCTTCTCCTGCAATACAAATCCTCATGAGTCTGTGCAATGCATTATTCATCTATTCTTAGAAAAGATGCTTCAGCACAGCTACAGCTTCTAGGATAGGTCCCCATTACAAAGTCACTGAGGGTCTCCACACTGACTTACCTTGTAACAGTCACCATCTGGCATAAGCTCTTGAACATAAATCATGGGGCCATCAGGCCTGTTAGATCCACCACTGATTGTCAGCCCTAAGCCGGAGGATTTTGCTATAGAAATGCTCTGGATTCCTGATTCAATGGAGTAGCTGCAAGGGAGAGATGTTAGCAGGTGACTCAAGGTGATCTGGTTTATTTTCCCATGTTGCTGAACAAACTCTGCCTGGCTTTCTTTCCGGGCATGGTCCTTCTAACTTCTCCCAACCTTTTCTGCCTCTGCATCTTTTCTTCCACCCAACCTTGGAAAGAAGAGGTGAGGACTCCAGTTTCTCAGCAGGCATCGTTCAGCATTGTGAAGATGACTGGTTTACATAATCCCAAATCCTGAGGAATACTCATTTGCATTTAGAAAATAAAGAGAGAAGAAACTAAAGGTTTAACCAGAACATATTTGGCACTCTTGGTTTGTATAGCCAAAAGCATACAAAGGATCACTGGTTATTGTTTGAATCCAGCAGCTCTGGCCTAAATGACCAGACAGCAATTTCCAGATTGGTCAACTATGAAGCAGCCCTTAGCAAACATCAAAGTGAAGCTCAGGATACACAGCTGACTGTGTTAACCAAGGTTTGGACTCAAAACCTTGCAAGATGCCCATAAGCACCTTTATAGAAATATCTACCACACTGTGATTTACTTCTGTGGCAGCGGTACAGATGACTCACCAGGTGAAGGATGTACTGCAAATAGAGCGGCAGCAAGGTTGGACCCTACCCTCAAAGAGCTGCCTGCTAGACAGGACCCAACAGGCCACCAAGACCAGGGCACGGCAGGCAGCTCCAGACAGGGAGGGAGAGAGAGAAATTGCTGTAAACGTTTGTAGGAACACAGATTTCACTGACCACCCACAGGCCGGTGGGCAGCATTGCAACAGGGAGGTTTTGAGAAAGGATTTGGTGGGATCTAAGGGTCAACAAGCCTTTTCCTCCTAATGGGCTGGATGCAGATGGATTTTCTCCTTTTCAGTTTATTTCCACAGTAGCCACTCGCGAGTTTGCAGTTCCCAGTCCTCCTTGTGTTATCTGGTAACTTAAGATGTAATGACAGCTGTGCATCCTGTGCCTCACAGTGACACCAGCACATAACCAATGCTATCACAGCGATGACATCCCCAGCGACAAAGCAGCATGTGGCCATCACCCCTCCAAACCAGCAGCAGACCCCCAGGAGAGCCAGCTGGCTATGCAGGTGAAAAGAACTGCATCCATGCAGCATGCCTTTTAGTCTTCTGAAAAAACATTGCTCTAAGAAATATTTTAGGAAAACAATGTCACAAAATGTAGCATTAAAACCCTCTGTTCAAATCAAAGTATCAGACACTATCTGTGGCAAGACTGAATCATATCTGGGTCTCATTGCTCAGTGGGGTGGCAGGACCTCAGATGACACTGCAATGAGAAATCACAGTCTGGGGACAACCTGCAGTGAGAGGAAAAGATGGGTAAGGGATGGCAGCTGCATGCATGCAAAGATCCTGCTGCACTTGGCTGGAGGTGCCTCTGTGCAGCTGACCACCAAGGCTCTGCACAGTCTGTGATTTCAAATGACTTGTGCTGCTCCCAGAAGGAGACCACCAGGGCCTGGCACTGGCATGGAGACAAGCAGAACATGGCATAGCATGGCAACATTGAGTGAGGAGGCCACCAAGCCAGGTCCCTTCTAGCCTACATTACAGCCTGGAGCAAGTTAACAGCAGAGCAAGGATGTCTAGTTTGTCCAAATCAGCAGCCAATAGATCAGGTGGCCTCTCCTCTGTAAGGGTCTCTCACTCCATGCAAGCAGCTTAAACCTCTGGTGCTAAATATTTGTCCTCTGCAAATCCCTAATAAAGAGGTGGTATTTAGCAAGAGGATTTACTGGTTCTGCAGTGAGGTCTCTTTACCAGCAACTTAGCTTGTTTACACTGGCAAAGAAAGGGAAGCTGCAAGCCCTGGGGATGAATGGTCCCAGTTCCACCACTGTTAACACCCTTCGAGCTGTCCCTCTTGAGAAGGGCAACCCCGAGCACCCTGGAGATGAGACTCCATGGAAAAACAAGCTCTGCCTGTCCAAACCTCTGACCCTGCGAAATATGAAAGGGACAGATGACCACATGAAAACACATGCTCCAGGAGGTGCTCTGAAGACAAAAGGATGCGGTGTCTATAGGCAACTGCTGTTAACACCAAAGCAAAGGGCGTTGGGAGTGTTTGCATTGAGAGGGCAGAACTTGTGCTCTGGTTGCATGATGTCAACGTGCCAGAAGCAGGACAATAGAAAACAAGCTCCCGAAACACCTTCCGAAAGCACCACTGGCCTCACAGAAATGCTCCACTCATGATGTGGTTTATAAAGGTGATGTGCAGGGTCCTCCCAGCTGCTGTAAGCCACGGCTTCTCCCCAAGTTTCAGAGGGGAGGAATAGGAGCAGTTGCATTGTTAACTGCACTGCAGACATATTGACTGCTTCAACAGGGAAGCTTTTCAGCTCTTGGGCACAGGCTTCCCAGGAACAGTCAAGATGCCACCACAACAAGGACTTCTAGAAGATGCTGTGGTCTCCTAGCCATTGTGGTGGTACAATGGTATAGAAGACAAAGGTGAACAAAGCAGTTGTTCGAACACTGGAAGTATTTACTGGATCTACCCCTACGACAGTGTTAGACATTCAGAGATATCTTAATGACTGACAGGGTTTGCGGGGCTGGCCCCGCGCGACCCATACGTACTGTGCTTGAGGGGGGTGTGCTGGGTTCCCAATGAAGGGGCCGTGGGAGTTGGCAGGGCTCAGCAGCAGCGGGCTCTGAGAGCGGGAGGAGGAGCCCGAGGATGTACTTTCCAGGTATCGACCTGAACAGCAAAGTCAGAGTCAGTCCAGGGAATGCAAATACTCCAGCATCATCCTCCTCCATCACCGAGACCTGACACCGTTTTCCTGGCTTTTTGGGGAAAACCACATGGTAGTTAAAGACATCAGTATACCACTCATGGAGAGGAAATGTTCAGCCTCCTCGGCACAATTCCAGCATGGGACTGTCACCCCTCTGCCAGCCCTACATACCTCTGCCATAGGGAAGGGCTGGCAGCCTTCTGGTGGGATACTAAGCCAGAAGGACACCTTCTTTCCCCATGCACACATGATTTGATGTGCTGGCACCTGGCTTAGGTTAACCATGTTGCATCTCATTAAACATTTCTCATTTGTGAATGAAAAATAAGGATCATTGAATGAATGATTGCTGAAATGCTTTGAAATCCATAGGAGAAAGCTGCACTGGCAGAGACAGCTATTGGTGCTGTTACCTGCCCAGCACGTCAGTTGAGCAGAGTCTGGGGCACTGGGAAGCTGTTACGACCCCAGCTCAATTCTCACTGTCTCACTGCCTTGCTTTGCGCTTGCTCCATGCAGGCAGGATTGGCCATGCCTGCTGCTCTGCACCTGGGGACGCACTAAGTGCTTGCAATAATGACGAGCAGGAGTTCTTTTGCTTCAAATGCCCACCCAAACACCTACACAAATCCAATCAAAACTCTCCCAAAATAACACTGGGATAAAGAAAACTCTCTTGGCAGAGAGAGGGACTTTTGGTTCCCCCCTAAAGGCACGCTGAGCTACTCACTGTTGCTGTGCAGGATCGGTGAGCTCCGCGCTGAGCCTGTATTGCTCTGGGAGCCAAACTTCTCCAGCAACTCGGAGAACTCTCTCCTGGAAATAAAAACACGGTATACTCAGCTGCTGCTTAAAACTATTCCCCACTTGATTATATGACAATGGTGCCTCTGATGGCAGTGACTTACTACCAAGTCTATAGGGCCAATGCCCTCCAGCAATGGGGAACAGACAGAGCTTTCTCATGCGTAAGGGTATAATCCCCCCAGGTTCAAGAGACTGTGCAAGACTTAAGGTCAATAATCAATCTCATGGCAGAGCAGCTTTCCTGCGATGGGAAACTTTGGTGTGCTGGAACTTTGGTGTGTTCCCTGTCCGGGAAAGTGTTCAGGGTGAGCATGGGCAAGAGGAGCTGGGAAGGGATGCATGGACAGGCACTGCTGCTGGGCAGTATCCTTCCCGAGAGAGGGCAGATCAACACAGGAGCCCTGCCTTGCACCCTGCCCTGAACCCCACTGCCTGGACCCAGCAATCAGCTGGAATAATTTCACCCCCAGCTACAAGGCTCAGGAGCTTTGCTAACACACCACACAAATCAAACAGACTGTCAGAAGGAGCTGTAACTATGTAAACATAAAGCAAAAATGCTTGGCCTAGTTGTGACTCCTTCCAGAATAGTTAAACAGATTATTCTGTTTTTTTCTCCTCCTTTCCTAAACAGAAAGCAGATCCTGCTAGCTCTTGCTGGGGTAAAGATGGGAGGTGGCTTCTGGAGCACATGCAAAAGCAGCAGCAACCCACTCTCTGAATCCATCCATAGTGATATTCTCCATGAACATTGCAGGATAAACTCTTGGAGCATACGACCTTAACAAAGACCTGCACTTGTAAGGCATGTTGGGGTAGTTCAGGCTTCTGTACTCTTCCCAGCAGCATCTCATGGCTGAAGATGCCGAACCAGCAGGCACACGCCAAATTTACAGATACCAAGGTCAGAAGGGCTTGTCAGTGAATTCAAGAACAGGGAGGAATGGCAGCCCACAAACACTTAGCATGATCTCTCTGTCTTGAGGTAATCCTCCTGCTTCCTATACTACCTCTCTGCAAAGCAATCTCATCCACAACATCCCCTGGAAAGCTGGCTTGGTGCCCAAGTGCCTTCATTAATGCTTTGCTTCCAGGCTGAGTTTGACCACCATATAACTACCCAGGTGTGTTGAGTCCTTGATGAGCTGTAACTACCTGTACACAAAAGGTGAATTGCTTTGTGACCTTCCTTTTCCCAAGTGTAACATGTTGAGTTTATAAACCCCATTAAGAACCACCATTAACCATGCTTACCAGCTCCTGCATCATTTCTGTAACCCTTCTTTGAGCTGCCATGAGCCTCTCACATCCTTTTCAATGAGGGGCTGCCATGTTCAAGCATCAGCCTCCTGTACCCATCCCTGCCACACTGGCTCATTGGGCAACATGGTTCCCAGGTGCGTGCTGTCCCTCTGCGACTGTGCAGTCTTCTCACTTCATAACCCAACACTTCTAGATCAATCCAACCTTTTGGCAGGGAAAAGAGCCTCAAGGATGACTAATTTCTTACAAGGTGTCATTAAATAAGTAGCCAGGCAATGGGGAGAGACCCTGGAAGTGTTGTTTCTGTGGCCACAGTAACAAAATTAGGTGTCCACTTTGAAGTCATGAAGGAATCCCCATGGGAATGTACCTTCCTGATGCTATAGCCACAGGAAAAGCCTGGTTATGAGTGGCTAGCTCCCACACTTGACAGTCAGACAAGCTCAAGACATAAATCTGTAGAAAACCAGCCACAGCAAAGTCTCCTCAGCGAGGAGATGGCTCTTACACACAAGCAGACGTTGTGTCATCTGCGTACTTTATTGGGACAGATGTTATATATTACTGGCTAGATTAGAGTCAACAGTATTAAATGATGAATGAATCATCAGCTCCTTAGGTTCCTGCTGGAAACGCTCTCAATAATTTACATGTTCCCATTAACAACCAGCTTGTTAACAAACTTCAAAGACCAGTGCCTGCCTTATCCAATATTGCCATCAAATGTATGCCTTATTCATTCCATTTAATGCTAGTTTTAAATCCAAGTGAGTGCAATGCCTCAGTGAATGCCAATACTTTGCATCAACACTATTGTCTTTATCAACTAAACCCATGACCTTAAAAAAAGACAACTAATTTGTTCAAAAACCTCACCTTCCACAAAACTGTTGTAACTAGCAGTTTCATAGCATTAGACACTGAAATAAATGTAAAAGCACTGAGAAAGCTGAAGGACAACTTAGACCCTATAGCCGTAGGACAGCCGTTTGCTGTTCTGTGGTTCCCTGGGTTAAGCCTTGATGCATCTTACCTTAGTAGAATTTTTCCGACTTTCCAGTAAAGCCTCTGCACTTCTATAGGTGATTCACAGTCCCATTTCACTTGTAACTCATGCAGTCATGGCCTTATCCCTCCATGACCTATTGCAATGCCAGGTCTAACATGCTGGAAGCTAACATAGTGTTTCCAGTGGTTACCAAGTCATCAGCAGCTGGGTTTTTCTTTTGGGCTGGGTGTTCCTGTGGTCATCTATTGTTACATTTTCCTCAGATAATAATTCATCAGAGCACAGAACAGGTTATGAACTTAAAACAATGGCTAAAAACTCTTAGTCAATGCAAATACAACTAGTCTGGCAGCTCTTGTGTTCTTTAAACCCTGCTAAACAGTGCAAACTCAATCTACCAATCCATGCTGTCAAACTCTGTTATAAGCAAGCGCATGTATGACTCGAGGATTCTTTGTTGTTGTTTATTTCATGTTGTTAAGTTCATCCACAAAGAAGTATTTATCATTATATGATCAGGAGCCTGAACAACGAGCTCCGAGCCCAGGGTTGCTTTGCAAGCCCGGGTCCAGCCCAGCCGTTTGCTGTAGGGATGATGTGACTAAATGCTACGTCACGGACGGCTGTCCCGGCTCCTGCTTTGTTGGTCAATACTGCAAGCCCCAGTTCCACCAAGGACATAAACACATGACTAACTTGAAGCACATGCTTATCCCAGCAGCAAGCAATACACTTTCTGCTGTCAATCTCCTGAGAATTAATTTTGTCCTCAGTGCTGTATTTGAAGGAATTTGCAGGCAGGCAGACAATGCCCAGACATTACTGACTAATGAGCAAGTACACTGAAGGAATGAGAGCAAGTCTTGCTTTGTGCTTTCTGACACCAAGAGACTTCAGAAGACATTTTAATATTTAAAATTTGACCCTTACTAAAACATTTTGAATTGTCAGATGCCCGCAGGACTGAAATGCCCAGCTTTATTTAAAAACATAATCATGGGGTTGTATTAGGTGAAAAGTTCATTTTAACAATCCCTTCTCCAGCTCTTTTTCATTAGGATACAGGCAGGCATTTGAGATCTGGAGGATCCCTGTAACAGAGCTTGGACCTGCACAGCCTTCAGCCAGCCCCATGGCATGGAGTGGAATAATGGCATTTGCCAGCAGCAGCCAGCTGTAGGCTGACTTTGCTACAGATTAAGTAGCAGGGGGTCAATCTTCCTGCAGAATATTGTTGTTTTATCTCATAATACCTTTTTGTCCTGCCCTTTTGTTCTTGGGAGAACAAAGGGTAAACCCTACATCAAAGGTTACGCGAGAAAACAGCGTCTGGAAACCTCAGCTCTGCACTGCAGCAGAGGGAGAAAGAGGAGCCTGTGACACCAGATAAATTAATTGCTTGTCTCAAAAAACAAGCCTGCAGGTCAGTGAGTACCATGAACCCAAAGCACTGCAAAAGCATCACAAAAGTAGATTTTCCTGCACCCAGCTCGCAGCAGCTACAGCATTTCCACCAGCTGTGCTGGGCAGCACATTTTGCTGCTGCTGGGCTTTGCTTTTCCATAAATGCCTAGGAAGCATTTATGGAATGTACATGTACAGGTGCATCTCAGCTTCTGTGTAAAAGGATGCGTGTTCTTCCCCAAAGAGCAGCCAGTGATCCTGGGATACCCCAGGCTCGCCGGAGTCAGCCCCACTGCTGCCTTCCAGTTTAGCACCAAGTGCTCAGATGAAGAAACCCGTTGAACAAACACACAGGGCTCGCAGCAAACAAGGGATTACTTTGCATTCGCACCAGGCTGGGCATGAACTCCAGCAACAGCCTCTCTGCTGATTCCTGGATATTGGTTGATATTGGTTATGCGTTTGCAGAAGAAGAGACTGCTTTCCTTACTGCTTCTTGTTCAAGTCCTATTAATACAATAACCCATCTTCACCGAGATGACTGTGCATATCATGCAGAGATGCAATGTATTTAGCATTTTATCATGTGAGTACTAGGAGGCGCAGCACAAACTAGCTTTCTCACAGTGATAAACCTGAAAGACCAGGATGATACCTGTGCAACACACAAAAACAGGGAACTATTGTAACTTTCATGTTGAGAATGAATAAACAATAATTATGCGTATGCAATAAAATTATCCTCATTAGCTAAAAGATGAGCACAGACAAAAATCAGATCCAACCGTCATCCAAAGCCAGTGTGTCCAGCTCTAAATCTGAATTTTCTGCTTTAAGCCCTAGCATTACTGCTGCTCTCTGCAGCGTGTCTGATGCGACAGGCTGAAAACATGCATCTTATACACGCCAGGACTGAGTTCCATTAAGAGCACAGGTAATCTGGGCCTGTAATTAACTCCAGGGACAAATAACAGTGTTTATGAGTCAAACTCACCCAAGGGCAACCGCAACAAAATGCTACTCAGCTGAGTCATTGGGAAAATTGGCAGGCGGGTTGGATTGTCTTCCAGACCCAGAGCCATTACGTGTCCTCCTCCAGCGTGCCTTGTGCACTCAGGGTTTAGGAGGACGACCTGCATGCGAGTATCTGCAAATACATTGAATTGCACTCCTCCCTGTGTCATTCTCTTGGCTTCCACATCTCGTGAGCCACTTTGCTGGGCACTGGGAAGGTACAAGGCTGCCCTCAGCTCATGGGAGTTCACAGCGCAGCATCTCCGTGGGCATCACCTGCAGAGCTGACAGTGCCTGGGAAGTCAGAGAGCCCGTTCCAACCCAGACAGAGGGCTGTTGCTCACCCACGCTCAAGGGCAGACTTAAAAGATAATGCGGTATCAATAAAATAAAGACAAAACTAAGGAGAAAAAAAAAAGTAGAAAGCAGAAAAATCTGCCCTTAATCCTGGAGATATATATTCATGTATTAAACAGTTTGGGAGGTGATTATGTAAGTGAAATCTCTGCAAATCTTTTTTAAAAAAATAAATAAACTGATTACTTCCACACTCTCCCGCTGCCTAACCTTTTGCAGATTTAACAGATAACCAACAGCAAATGGAGGGCAAATAAATTGCTTAAAGTTTCATTGCCCTCCCAGTCTCCCTCGGTCAGTTTACAAGCAGCTCCTTCGCCAGGCGATTGGGGACTGCCAACAGATGCACAAAGGGGCTGGAGCTGCCGACAAAGCTACTCGTGCATATATTTTGAGAAACATCTGCTCCAACTTAAGATATTATGAGGCACATCGAGATGTGTAAACAGCTTGGACCAGATCAGGTGAAGGCAGAAAACCTGCTTTGGGAGCTCTGGCTGAGAAACAAAGTGTTTCCCTGAGTACACCCTTCTGCTGCTGGGCACAGATTGCTGCTCAGCTGCAGGAATCCATCCCTCCTGCTGGGAACCAGCCCTGGCAACAGCTGCCCAGAGGGGACAGCACAAGATGCCCACTGCCACTTCCATCCCTAGGCAAGTGCAGGGACAGCTGCAGCACAGAAGTGCATCCTGTGCATCCTTACTATTACATTAGCTGCAAGTCCTTCAGCAGCTGCTGAGGAAGCACCGGGTGAAGCACTTGGTCTGAAGCAAAAGAGCGTCAAACTACCAAGTCTAGCTCTGGTGACCTGCTTGCTTCACCCGGTGCTTCCTCACTAGCTGCTGAAGGAGTTGCAGTTAATATAATGAATTGAGATGTTATTTTCACTGTAAGAGTGTAGCTGAAAAGCAGTCCATAATTAATAGCAAATAATTATTCCATCAGTATATTACTGTGTCAAAATTAGTCTCATCCCTGTCATTACAGCACTCTCACTATTCTGCTAAAGCAGTAATGCTTCACAGCTGTTGATGGATAAGCAATGAAACCATCATCTCCGACGCTAACGGGATGCGGGTATGTTGAGCAAACGACTCTGTGATCTTCAGCCACCCACACACAATGCAAAGCTTCAGTGCCACCAGCCTGCCTGCCCATGACCGCGCTCTGCCTAAACCTGCTTCATTTTGGTGGTTCCTGGTGCACCTCAGGTTTCCAGACCTGTGTTTCTATTCAAGGGAGAGGATGCTCCAGCACATTGCGCCACATGTCCCAGGCTATGCCAGCAAAGACCCCACTAATCCCATACCTTGGTTTCCACAACCTTGTCCTCTCTCATGACACCATCATTGTCTCACACAGCTTACATCCAGCCAAGACAAAACTGAACTTTCCTTCTCCTTTTGAATCCTCCAACCCTCTCTGGACAAAGCATGGTTTTCCAGGGAGCAGTGAGGGGAGAGGTTTCAGGGAGAAACTGCCCATTCTCCCTGGGAAGGAGGAATCCTGTGGGGAAGGAAGACCTTAATGTGTCTAACTGGAAAGAAAAAGGAAGATCCTCCTCTCCCTCTGTGTCTTCATCCAAAGCTCTGTACAAGACACAATAAGCCGTAGGCAGCTCCGTACCAGACAGCAGAGCTGAAGAAGCCCAGGCCACCCTACAGCTAAGGTTGGAGCTGCCCTGGTCCTCAATGAGGAAACACCTGTGGAAATCTGCTCAATGCCAGGATGCCCTGTGGAGCCAGCACAGGGTGGGCTGGAGCCAGGTGTGCAGCTGGGAGCCACCAGGTTTGCTTCCTTTACCATCACAGCTGCAGAGTGTTCCCACCAGTGTAACAGTTATGAAAGACCCTTGGCCACCTCCATCTTCACCATGGGCTTTGAGCGCGGTTAGCTCAAAGGTAGTCCAGTGCCAACGAGGGCCGTGATCCACCTTCCCAGTGCAAGATGACACCCCTTACCTGGCGTCGTCATCACGGGCTATAAGAAGGCGCATATGGCTGGTGGCCGATGCTGTCCTCAGGATGTCCACGGCCCTGTGAGACAAGGACCACAACATGTCAACACTGGCTCACTGCAGTACTCCACTGAGCTTGCCCGGACACATGTCAAAGCTCACGGGAAACTGGGCAGAGACCCATGGCCTGGGCAAACCCCACTAGCAGCCAAGGGACTTTTTTGGATGGTAGCCTGTGGAGCAGCCCCATTCCCTGCCCTGGCACCGGGGCCAGACGGCAGCAGAGTTGCAGCCTGATTTTCCCCTTTCTGCACTCAGTTAGAAGTCCCCGATAACAAAGCAGACCCAGAAGATGCATGTGGTGGTGAGCAAATATCTCCCAGTACACGTCCTTCCTTGGGAAGTTTCAGTCTCAAGGGCGGCTGCTTGCTGGCTCAAACACACGTGTGCCCGTGAGAGTCAGGGCAATGTGCCAGGGGGGCCAGACGCAGCCTCCCTGCAGCTGCCGAGATGTCCTCGGGGACCTGCTTCATCAAACCCATCCGCTCTGCAGGTTTGGGAGCAGGAGAAGCTGCTCGTGCTGCTTCCCAAGCATCCCCCCAGCCTAAGTACACCATGCAGAAATGCAAGGCAGCAGGAGGCTAGCACCACGTTTAATGAAAAAAGGGTGCCCGAAAAGTGTGGTATGCCTCTCGATCAGTCAATTGTTTTCTTGGTGGGGAGCCGAGGGGCTGGATTGCAGCTCCGGAGGGAATCCCCCACACAGAGCAGCACTGTAGGGTTTAGGCACTGGCTAATCTCCGGCACGGAGAGCTGCAGGGCTTGTTGGGAAGCTGCAGCAGATGGAGTGGGGGTGCCAGGAACTGTTAAAAATCAGCATTTTGGGGAAATGTCTGAATATCTCACAAATACAGTTTGGGTCACTGGTCTATTTTTATACAGAAATTTTTTGTCTGATAATTCCCAAGGTGGCTCTTGGGAACAGCACTGGCTGTGTCAGAGCACAGACAAAGCAATGCCCTGGTGTCCTCCGTGCAACCCGCAGCCTAAACCATTTCACAGAATTATACAAAAGCAACAGGAATGCAAAATTTCTGTTTGGATATGGTACCTCTCGCTTGTAACCCCAATTAAGGAATCTCCATTGACCTCCAGGATCTGGTCTCCTGGCTGCAGGCGGCCTAGAAAAGAAAACTAATGGATAGAAACTGTGGAAAATACAGCTTGAAGGGACTGGGAGAGGTTGGGCAGTTCCTTCCTTTGCCCAGAGACAGGATGAAATATGCATAGATTATTCCTTAGATGCTCATCCAACCTGTTTTTCAAGATGTCCATAGATGAAGTTTCTGCAGCCTCCCTGAACAACCTGTGCTAACGTTGCAGCACTTCCTCTGCTGTAGGAAGTTACGAAAGTAAACACTGAAAATTGCAATAAAGCTTTTGCTTAATTCAGTCTGAGGTCAGGTAGAAAATCATGAGTGGCACCTCCACCTGTTCTGGATTTATTGTTCTTTATTAGATGGAAAAATCACAGAATCACAGAATGTTAGGGGTTGGAAGGGACAGCTGTGGGTCATCTAGTCCAACTCCCCTGCTGAAGCAGGGTCACCTAGAGGAGGCAAAATGATGCTGTAAGATTTGAAAAAAAAACACCCATATATCTTTCTGGCTTAAGGTCTGAAAGGTGAACTCTGCAGAGCCCTGCCTAATACATCCTTATTTGAAGATGCTCAGAATTGAATCAGTGGCCTAGAGCAGAGCTTAATTTGCAAAAGGTTCTCCAGTCATTTTAGGGCTACAGGCAGTCAGTGGCATGTGGGAAAGGACAGGCAGCAAAGTGAAGTTCTTTGTGTGGTGGGGTTGGATCCTGCTTTAAAGACATGAAGCAATCATATCTATGCTGAGAAGCCAAGGCAAGGCTGCCATTGAATATTGCAATGATTGCCACAGTAAAAAAATACCCTCACTGCTGGAAAATCTGGGAGGAAGCACCTGAATGTCTGATAAGGCAATGTATAAAATAAATACATGCTCTTCTGGCTTGTCTCACTTTTTGCGGTACTCTGCACCATGTTTCACTCACCGTCTGCGTAAGCAACACCCCCTGGAAGGATCCGCTTAACATAAACTCCATATTCTTCTCCAGTGAGTTCCTTGATGCCACCGATTACCTTAATACCTGGTGAAAAAGAAATGCCTGTCACACAAAGACACAGAGAAGAGCAGTTTCCATGGGCTGTCTCAGAGGGATGCAGCCTCCAGCACAGCTCCCAAGCATCCCATCACCACCTAATGCCCCTTTCCACAACCTTTTGTGGAAAGCCGCCTGTGTCCCCTGCACTTCACAAGCAAGTAGCAGAAGCAACAGGATGCAGACGCTGACACAACACAAAGGCTAAAAGCATCTGATAGCACCTGCTTGGAGCAACAGCTATGGAGACAAAGCTTCCGAGAAAGGCGTAGGGAAGAAGTGACCACCTTCCTCAGCCCCAAGTTTATAGAATCATAGAATAGTTTGGGTTGGAAGAGACCTTTAAATGTCATCTGGTCCAACTCCCTCGCAGTGAGCAGGGACATCTTCAACCAGATCAGGTTGCTCAGAGCCCCGTCCAACCTGACCTTGAAAGTTTCCAGAGATGGGGCATCTACCACCTCTCTGGGCAACCTGTGCCAGTGTTTCACCACCCTAGAGCATAAAAAAATTATTCCTTACATCTAGTCTGAATCTACCCTCTTTTAGGACAAGGGGTAATGGTTTTAAACTATTGCAACAGGCCCTGCTAGAAAGTTTGAACCCATCTTTCTTGTAAGTCCCATTTAAGTACTTGAAGGCTGCTATAAGGTCTCACCGGAGCCTTCTCTTCTCCAGGCTGAACAACCCCAACTCTGTCAACCTTTCCTCAATTGAGAGGTGTTCCACCCTCTGATCATTTTTGTGGCCTCCTCTGGACTGCCTCCAACAGTAACAAGTTCGTCACTGATGGGAAAGGATCAGATTCTGCTGTGGATGCCTCAGCCTGTGCTCTTGTCTCTGATAGGACTTGTCACATTGAAACATTACTGGGGACAAGTGTTTCCCCCAGGGGACCCCCTTTGAGGTGCAACATCTGGACAAGCCCCAGGTTCAATACAGTGGTGAGAATATCCCTGCTGCAAGCTTGCCTGCCTGCCAGGCTCCAGCAGGGAAAGGATCAGATTCTGCTGTGGATGCCTCAGCCTGTGCTCTTGTCTCTGATAGGACTTGTCACATTGAAACATTACTGGGGACAAGTGTTTCCCCCAGGGGACCCCCTTTGAGGTGCAACATCTGGACAAGCCCCAGGTTCAATACAGTGGTGAGAATATCCCTGCTGCAAGCTTGCCTGCCTGCCAGGCTCCAGCAGCATCTCCACTACAGCCTTTGAAGCTGTCAGCAATGTCAGAGCTTCCCATCAGGAGCAGCCACTTTTTATCAGTGTCTGAGCCCGGGATGAGCAGCCCAGAGGCAGGAGCCGGGGTGCAGAGATGACCTTTAGTGAGGCTCTGAAACCCCCTGTTGCAGCACCTTGGCAAAGAACTCTCATGCTGCACGGCCACCTCTCCAACCACGGGACCTGAGCCTGCTGCCCGTGCGTAAGCTGGCTGGCAGGAAAAGGCCCAAGAGACTTATTTGTCCAGGGCTCAGTAAATCCTGCTTCGAAGATCTAGGCTGTGGACAGAAGGATTAAAAAGCCTGGCTTTAATTAACAAATCTCTCCCGAGAACCGTCGGTCAGGCATTTTGCTGCTCTGGACAGGAGGGCATGCTGAGGACAGGCGGCACTGCAGAGAGGGGCACTGCCAGCAGGAAGCCAGCTTCATCCTCTGGCTGCTTTCCTGGGCCAATAAGCTGCTCCAAGCCTTGGTGGGGTGCTGGGATGCACAAAGTTACCCCGTGTGAGAAACACTTCTCTCCAGGGGAGAAGAGCACAGATTCTTCCACAAAATACGAGATCCCCTTCTGAAATGAGCAGGAGGGAAGAGGAGTGGACCATAGATTGGGATTACTTGGGACAACGGTGCTATTTCCATCCCTAGTTCCCTTCCATTTATAATCCAAGCTCTGCTTGTTAGACCCTCACAGTTTTCAGTCACCTCTAGGGAAA